CATGGACTACAGCACACCAGGCCTCCATGTCCATCACCATCTCCTGGAGTTTGCTCAAATTCATGTCCATCGAGTCAGTGATGCCATCCAACCAACTCATCTTCTGTCATCCCCTTCTCCCCCCACCTTCAATCTTTCCCAGCATCAGGGTCTTTTCCAATGAGTCTGTTCATGTCAGGTGGCCAAACTACTGGAGCTTCAGCTTCAGCATCAGTCCTTCCAATGAATAAAATGAACAAAACATAACTTGAAATTTCAGAATAATCATTTTTATTTGATTTTCGAAGTGTAAAATTATATCTAAGTAGTCATATATAATCCAAGGAAGATTTCTGGTCTAAAGTATGGGTGATCTTGGCAGGGGTTAACCTGAGGCTTGGAGGTGGGGACTGGTGGGTAGAGACTTACTGGAATTGTCCACTTTCCTGCTTTACAGAGGGTTCAACTTTATAAAACCTCCTGACATTTTGATTCTATTAGGAGTGTGTGGGATCCATCCAAGGGAATGAATTTGGCAGTTATCCCAATGACTTGATTAAGGGGAACAGTCAACTGGAATAATTCCATTTGATAAGCATATTTTCTTTCTTCCATTCTAGTTTGCCTGCTATTTATGGAATAAAGTGGGTGGTTTCCAAGTTTGAAGCTTGTGCATAGATCGGTTCTAATACTGGTGGAAAATTTAGAAACAAGAACACTTTGCAAGCCAGGTGATTATTTTTTAATGTGCTTTATTATTTCCCGTTGTAAGCTGATTATACATGTAGGAGAATCATTTCAAAATGCTGTTTCTTTAACAGGATGATAGCTTTCAGAGACTTCTTTCTACTACTTCTTTCAGCCAAAGAATAACTGAAAGTCAGCAAAATCTTTAGGTATTCATGATAATAATATCTTTGTATTATTATGTCTAATTATATATATATATCATAAAATAATAAAATATCCTTGGAAAGAAGGCAATGGGGGATTAAGTTAGGGGAAAGAGGATTGGGGAATATCCACAGTCTTCCTTATGAAAGGATATCTGCATGTTCCTTATTACCTGAACTGCTGTCATCTTGGAATCACAGATTCAAGGGAGTAAGAATAGTCCACGATGGGTCAAAGAGAAGTAATACTAAGCAGCAAACAAGTCTTATGTGATTTCTTTAGAAGTGAAGTTCTTTATAGTTGGGGGAGAGCAGAGGAAAGGCAGGTCTATTTATCTCACCACAGACCTTATTTTTTTTTCAAAAATCACAGTGACTTTTACATTTAAACTCAAATTTTACTTTGAAATAAAAGGACATTTTTCTTGCACAGAGTTCTATATATTGAGAAATTTACTTTGGATCCTCAAACATGTCTACAAATTTACACTTTATCACCTTGGGATAGAATGTCCTTTGAAACAATTAAGAAAAACCAGTTTGCCTTCTCTGGGGTTACAACCTATAGATACGTTTTCAGAGTAAAAAAATCTGTTTTCAAACAGTCATGGTATGAAATTAGAAATGAACGTTAATCTAAAACATACAATATTTACAAGCTGTGTTTCCCAATACTAATTTAGTTTGAAACTAAAAAAGTAAAATCCTAGGAATTTTAGAGGATACAAACTGCCAACCCCAAAAAGACAAATTCACCCTTTAGGGATAAATAGTTCACCTTTGGTTTGTAACTACACCATAGTAATTACAATAGGAACAGTATCGCCAGCCCTAGAGGCCCCTTAAAATTTACAAAGTGTTTCAGGTTCAGAATCTTAATATTTCAAACAGCATTTTTTGAGATTATCAGATAGTATTATTACCCTCATTCTTAAAATGTGGAAGCCAGAACAGATAGAAGTTAAACAACTTCGCTCAGGTCATCCAGTCATTAACTGAAGAAATGAGGACTTCAACAAAGGTATTCTGATTCCAAAGCCTTTTCTCACCACGAAATGATGTTAACAACCTTTAAAAACAGCTGCAGACCCTTCAAAACTACCATATTTGAGAGCAGTCTGCTTGGGATCCATGGATATTGGGCACAACATAATCATACATGTCCCCTTCCCTCTCTCCAGACAAAAATCTTCTAATAAAATATCTGCAACTAACAGAGGAAGTTGTATGAGTAAATATATTTAGGAAGCAGATTTTCCAAACAGGTTAAATCCTGAGAAACAACTAGTTTTAATAACTTTTGTGACTATTCTGGGCTCCACATAAACAGATGGACACCTAAGTACTTAGCATGTCTTTAGCACATTGTAGAAATGGTATCATGAAAAAGTATGTGAAATACTGAAGCAATAATACAGGCATGGGCTTTCCTGGGGACTCAGTGGTAAAGAATTTGCCTCCTAAAGAATGCAGGAGACCCGTGTTCAATCTCTGGGTCAGGAAGATCCCCTGGAGAAGGAAATGGCAACCCACTCTAGTATTCTTGCCTGGAAAATTCCATGGACAGAGGAGCCTGGTGGGCTGTCCATGGGTTTGCAAAATAGTTAGACAACAGCTAAGGAGACTTACCAATTAGACAACAGTACAAGCATCCTGACTCAAAAATGACTTTTCCTTCTGTCTCTTCAAAATATGATAAGTGTAGCTTCATGCTCTTCCCAGAGATGATCAGAATGATTAAATAACAATTTTTGGACATGCTATGTCTACATTCTGCTTTGGGTCCATGCCTGGCACTCCAAAAGAATTTATCTTTCTACCTTTCAAAACTACCTGTTCTCTGATGGAAAAAAAGGACTACAGAATGATCTCACTCTTCCTTTTTTTTTTTTGCAAACCTTGGACTTTTTATTTTGCATTGGGGTACAGCCAGTTAACAAAGTTGTTATAGTTTCAGGTGAATAGGGAAGGGACTCAGCCATACATATACATGAATCCATTCTCCCCCAAACCTTACATCCATCCAGGCCGGCACAAAACATTGAGTAGAGTTCCATGTGCTATCCAGTAGGTCCTCGTTAGTTATCCATTTTAAATATAGCAGTGTGCACATGACCTTCCCAAACTCCCTATCACTTTCGCCTTACTCTTCCTTTTTAAAGGCTAGTACTCCCACCTTGAGGATGATGCTGAGGCCGTGAGAGAAAACACAAGTCCACCCCAGGAAGTCACTTCCTCTGCTATCTGCCTGCCAGATCAATAACTAGTCATGACTTGGGGACATGATATCCAGCTGGGGAGGTGCTGGACCTGCTAGGGAAGGACAGGGACTGAACAGATGAGATATAGAATCTAGTCAATGCATGCAGGCAGTCTCTAGGAGAGAACTGTTGGGAGTGTGCCAGATCAAGTGGAATGGAATATAATGCATGATATTTGATATAATAAAATATAAGTTTATCAATACAGGGATCCCCCTCTCTTGACACAGGGTTTAACGCTGACAGGGTCCACTGAGGATGATGCTAATATATCGCTGGACAGACTTCAGAAACTTTGGGGAAATAATGGCTCATTCTTATTGAAGTAGAAACTCCATAACTCCCTGGTAAGTGGTTGAGCAGGGGGTCAAGAGGCTCACAGAAGAGGGCATGCCAGAATGGATATGCTACATAAGGCCAGAAAGCCTACCAGCTGCGGGAGAACCCAGAAGAATGCAGTTTACCAAGCCCACAATAGGTGCACTGATGAGGGGGTACCAGTGTTATTAGGGGGCTCAGTAACATTGTCTTCTGGAGGCCAGGGCTAGAGGTTAGGAGTAGCTCTAGAGAACTAGGCTCCCTGAAAGTCATGCATGAGACAAGTGCTCGGGCCTGGTGCACTGGGAAGACCCAGAGGGATCGGGTGGAGAGGGAGGTGGGAGGGGGGACCGGGATGGGGAATACATGTAAATCCATGGCTAATTCATTTCAATGTATGACAAAAACCACTGCAATGTTGTAAAGTAATTAGCCTCCAACTAATAAAAATAAATGGAAAAAAAAATAAATAAAAAAAAAAGTCATGGAGATAACAGAAGCCAGGTGATGGAATTTAACCTTCCGAAGCGAAGGAGATGTGATTATCATAATAAAGAGCATGTAGGAGTAGCAAGTAGAAGAGCCTGAACCACCAAGAGCTGTGCAGAAGGTTAATGGAGCATGATGTTCCTAGGGCAAGATAGCTGGGCAGACAACAAGGGCATTGTCCGGTGTAACCTACAAAAAAATCAGGATAGATAATTAGGAGGGTGAGGGCCAACAGCCCGGTAAAACGTCACAATCTTTAGCCTCGTTTCCAGAACTGAGCCAGTTTTCAGACCTGCACCATACTGAGTTAAGGGCAGGCTGTGTCCCCATGAGGATGGACCACTGCCATACCACAGCAGGTGGAGGCACTGATGACTGTTTCCAGTTCTTTTCCAAAAGGGGTCTATGGCCATTTACTAGGTGATTATACTCGGGAAAAAAGGATACACCCAGACTTTCTGAGAACTGTGGAATCTAATACCTGACTTGATACTGAAGTCAAAGACCTGTGGCCTCATGCTGATCTCTCTAGTTAGATTAGGGGCGCGTGTTGGCCCGGCAGTAAACAGAGTTCTGGCTCATGTCTGGCTCGTGTGGGGCCTATGGATTGACAAAGCGCTTAGTTCCTCAGGCCCTGAAAATATAACTGGAGTGGACAGATTTGGCATTTGTCCGAATGCTCCTTTGGATTCCTTGGCCGGTTGGTAAGAGCTATCACATAGTGGGAAGGCCAAGTCCAAGCCTCTAAAAGTGCCTTTGCTGGCCAAAACAGTGAACCTAAAACAATTTCACATCGCTAGAGAAATGGCAGGAATTTGTGTGACCCTTAAAGATGTAAAGGATTCCTAGGTAGTGGTGTCTATCATGCCTACATTTAATTTACTGACCAATTAAAAGGATGGCTCCTACATAAGCCAGAAAGAGCCTGGCAGATGACATTGGGCAACTGCAAACATAAACAAGTCATAACTATGTAACCGCAATTGCAGCTGCTGTTTATATGTGGTAGTGAGCAGTGGGGGCTGCTTTAGGAGGTCGGCAGGGAGTTGATACCCCAGAGATGTCTTCAAGTACATTGACTGATGCTAAGGATCCAGCTAAAGTTGAAGGTGGTGAACGAATGATTGTTATCTATTCTCTGATATTGTGAGCTTTAATGCTCAGAAACCTAGATATAGGGTCTAAACGGCTGTGTTTGTTTCCTGGGCTACTGTAAGAAAGTTCCACACACTAGATGGCTTGGGAGACTTCCCAGGCAGCACTGGTGGTAAAGAACACCACCTGCCAATGCAGGAGACATAAGAGATGTGGGTTCAATCCCTGGGTTGGAAGATCTGGAGAAGGGAATGGCAACCCACTCCAGTATTCTTTGCCTGGAGAATCCAATGGACAGAGGAGCCAGACAGGTTATAGTCCACGGGGTTTCAAAGAGTCGGACATGACTACTGAAGCTACTTAGCATGTGAAACAATAAGAATGTGCTCCCTTGCGGTTCTGGGAGGCTAGAAGTCTGCGATCAGTGTCCATAGATCTATGCGCTCTTTGAAAGCTCTAGAGGAGGATGCTCCTTGCCTCTTCCAAGCTTCTGGTGGCTCCTGGCAATCGTTGGTGTTTTCTGGCTTCCAGGTGTGTAACCCCAACCTCCATCTTTACATGATGGTCTCCCCTCTCTGCCTTCTTCTCTGTTGTACGTTCATGTAGGAAAAGCCTACACTCATCCTCCTCGGTTTTTCCTCTACACTCACACTACTCCTGCACTCACAAGACTTATGACACCAGTTGTGTATGGGGTTTTCTTGTATCATACAATTCTGTGACACCAGCTGGGTCTCCTACAATTTAACTCACTTTTGACATTATCTATTTGGAGACCATGTCAGCTCCCATAGGTTAAGGATTCAGTCCCACAAGACTCAATCCACCCCACTTTTGATGTCAATTGCAAGTGATAGGTCCCCAGGTTATCCACAAACTCTGTCTGACTTAGCTACGGACTGGAGATTCCATGGTCCCCTCCTTGGGTTAGATTAATTTGCTACATCAGTTCACAGAACTTGGGAAAACATTTATTTAGTTTTTCCAGTTAATCAACAATAGGATAAAAGATACAGATAGCTAACCAGATGAAGCAATACGTAAGGTGAGGTCTGAGAGGATCCTGAGCGCTTCTGTCCCCGTAGAGGTGGGGTGCCATCTGAAAAACGATGAGTTCGCTAACCTAGAAGCTCCCTAAACTTTGTACTATTGGGATTTTTATGGCAGCTTCCTCACATTAGGCATGATCAATTATTAACTTCATTTCTAGCTCTTCTCCCTTCTGAAGAAGTGAGGAGGGCAGGGCTGAAAATTTCAAGCTTCTAATCACTGTTTGGTCCTTCTGATGATAAGCTCCCATCCAGGAGCCCACTCAGAGTTAACTGTTTAGAACAAAAGATGCTCCTAGTATTCTTATCTCTTTGGAATTTACTAGGGTTTTAGGAACCGTGTCTCTGGCCCAGAGTCGAAGACCAAATATTAGAACAAGAGATACTCTTAGTGTTCTTATCACTAGGAACTGGGAGCAGGTGTGTGTGTGTGTGTGTGTGTGTGTGTGTGTGTGTGTGTATAATGTGATTTTGACACCTTACTTCTGAGGTGGAGTCTGTGTTTCTGTTCCTTGAAACTATTTTTTTTTAATTATTATCCATTAGATTTCATTCATTCTGCTTTTGAACACTGACAGTCTTACAAAGCTCTGTTTTTGCCACTCCCGGTTTCATTTGGGGGTTATTTCCTCTAGGAATACACCTTTTGCATTAGACAGAGGGGCAAGTTTGTGTTGACTTCTTAGGCAGTACATGGAGTAGCGTTTGTGACTAACGTGGAAGTGACAGTACATGATTTAGAAGCCAGGTCATAAAATTCAGTAACTGCCGCCTGGCTTTTCCGGCAAGTTTGTTCTCAGAATTCAGCCACAAAATTCTGAAGAAGCCCAGGTCCCCAAGTGGAGAGAGTACAAACAGGCATTTTGGCCAGTAGCTCAGCTGATGTCCCAGCTAATAGCCAGCTAATAATTGATATGTGAAAGTACTTTCAGATGATTCCAGGCCCCAGCTGTCTAGTCACCCCAGCCCTCACGTCTTTCCAGCTGAAGCCCCAAACATTATGGAGCAAAGATTAGTCTTTCTTGCTCTGACATTTCTGGATTCCTAACTTAAAGAACCTGTGAGCACAATATAGCAGCTTTTTAGTTACACTACTAATTTGGGAATGGTTTATTAAGCAGCAATGGTACCTAGAATAGGCAGGGGGAAAATAAGAGTATTCAATAAATGGTTCTGGAAAAAAAGTAGGTAGACATTTGAAAAATAGAATCCATATATCATACCAAAATAAATTTCAGATGGGTCAAAAAGTGAAATGCAAAAACTTAAATGAAAACATTACTAGGATACCATTGGAGAATTTAAAAAAGAAAGGTTAGAAGGAAGATTTGTCGAAGTGTGATATAAAATTCTGAAAGATCAATAAATATAACTACACAAAATAACACATTGCTTGGGGAAAAAAATCATGATCAAGAGTCATAAGTAAAGTCAAAAGATCTTGACTATATGATGGGTCAGTAAAGAAAAGACCAACAACCCAGTAAAGAAGGGGACTAACGAACAGAACAGTCAATTCTCAGAAAAAAAGAACTGCAAACTCTTATATAAAGAATGTCAATCTTATTCATTATCTGAGAAATGCAAACAAACAGTACAATGAGGTACCCTTTTTCACTCAACAGACAGGCATAAGTAAACCTGAATCATGAAATGTGGGAATTAAAAGTGTGGGTCCTGGAAATCAAAGCTGACTGACTGAACTTGGGCATATTTGTTAATTTTTGCCTGCCTCAGTTTCCTTATCTGTAAAGTGCTGATGATAACAATCATATTTATCACTTATGGTTTATGAGGATTCAGTGACTTAATGTATGTAAGCGATTTATAACAGTGTCCAGAATTACAGTAGGCTATTATTACTGTTAAATTGAGAGGTTAGGGTTGGGAACTGGAACACTTATGCACTGCTTAATTCAGAGCAAATTCATTTACTCCAGGTAAAGGGCCGTTTGCCAGGATCTTTAGAAACTAAAGAGCTTCCCTGGTGTCTCAGATGGTAAAGAATCTGCCTGCAATGCAGGAGACCTGGGTTTGATCCCTGGATTGGGAAGATTCCCGGGAGAAGGGAATGGCTACCCACTCTGGTATTCTTGCCTGGAGAATTCCATGGACAGAGGAACCTAATGGACTACAGTCCATGAGATCCCAAAGAGTCAGACACAACCGAGCGAATAACACTGAACTTGTATCAATGTCTATTAGAGATATCAGTGGCTTGAAGCTTTTGCTCAAAAAAAGCATCTCTTGACTGTTTGCCAGACAGGTCTGTTACCAGCAGCTGTTTCCCATCCAGTCCCAGTCATGGCTCACTGCCAGGGAGTGGGAGAGCATGCTTGAGTGAATCCTCAAAGTTCTTTTCATCTCTGCTCGCGAGTACCATCCCGTGTTTCCAGGACAGCACCTGCTAGAGGGCAGGGCCACCCATTCTGCTCACATGGCAGCCTTTGCTCCAAGCTTCCCTGTGGACAGACAGACCAAGGCTAACCTTGTGACCCACAGAGTCCCCGTACCTCGTCTTGAAAGACATAACATTTATGGACATAAAATTATGATACATTTTCTAATTTGTGACCTAAAAGGTTCAAATATCTCTACTCTGAAGAAAGTGTAAAAATAACCAGGATGAATTTTGTATGCAGTATTTTTTCATTTTGTCAACTTGCATTCTGACGAAACGTCTTTGAAGTGTAACTGTATATGACTGAGGAGAAAAGACGTGACATTCATAACCTATTATAGATCACTTGCTATTTACAGTGTCTCAGAAGTTAAAGCAAAAAATATCTTTACTGATTTCCTTCCTCAGCATCATTCTGTGATTTGCTTTCTTCTTGGCTCTCCTTTCAGATGTATTCCTTCATATATACTGGGATGTCCCTTAATTTCAAAAAATACATTTGAATCTATTTCTTAATTTACCATTTCCTATGTTCAAAATGTACATACCTGAATTACATTTCAAATGTATATTATTGTTATTATCCCTTTTAAGCTTTTTTTTTTTTTTTTTATATCTTGTCAATTCCAGTGCTTCCCAAAAGGTTTCTGGAAATATTGGGGGATCTTGGCTTATTCTCCTGTGTAGAAGGGAATTCACAAAACTGGATGTCCAAATAGTTTCCAATTTATGACTCATAGTCAATCTATCTCATTTTTTCCTATGCACAGATCTTACACAACCAACAAAAACCATGTTTCAAAGTCATCTGGATCTGTGGTCTCCTTTCTATTAATACCTCTTCCTTATCTTTCAAAACTTGGTGCAAGCATTTTTTCCTCAGGGAATCCTTTGCTGACCACATGCTACTACAGATTGATCCACTCCTACTACAGACTGAGTCAGACATTCCAGTTATATATTCTGCCCTCTTATACTATTTTTTTTTTTTACTGTAGTATTTATTATCACTTTTTTCTTCCAGTTCTCAGCACTAACTTGATTAATATCTATCTCCCTTCTCTAGACTCAAATTCTTTGAGAAGACTGATAGTCTCTTCCCCATATACTCTGAGCCCAGAATAACTCTTGGCTCATAGAGATTCAACAAATATTCTGTGAGCAAATAAATAAATAAAGAGGTAAAAAAGTGAATGAATGACTAAAGTCCCCAGAACTGTGACCAGTATATGACAGTATTTAATAAAATGATAGTTAACATTATTACTGCTGGTTTCCATTCCAGAAAGATCTATTTGCTGATTATTTCCAGTTTGTTGCAAACTTGATTGTGACTTCAGAAACTAAAAGTTATGTGCTCCTTCAAATATGTTCCTTCTTATAGTTGAATTCTTGCCTATTGTGGTGCAATATATAAATATGTAGAGATATAAAGATACATGTATGTATGCATACATGTGAATGTGTATAAAGAAAGAATAAATCAACAAATTTTTAGATGCAAAAATATGTGAATAATCTTTCTAGTTAGTAATCATGCATATTAAACATATATTCACTTTGATTTCATTTCATTTCATTAATAAAATTTTAGTATAAATTTTACAAATTCTTATCAGGATTCCCAAAATCAAGAATATATGACTAGAAGTAAGCAAAGTTAATTATTTATACATTTTTTGGGAAAAGTTTGACTTTGTTCTTTTTAATTTGAACACTTTAGTAGAAATTACAAGTTCAAGGTTTTCATTTTTCTTTAGAATAAAGTATGATAATCTCAATAATATGGGGATCTCTGGATAATTAATTATTTTTCTGCTAGAGTAAAGTTGACTTCCATTTTGATTCTCAATTTGGTAACAGCAAGGACTCAGAATTACTTGATATTAGATTCACATAGAAAGTTTGAGATTTGTGATTGAATACCATTCCATTGTTACATTTAATTTCTTAAAATGAATTTAGACAATGAAGATTTTGAAAGCACCCTTTCCCCATTGAAATAATTTTCTAAACAGAATACTTACACACAGCAATACTTTTATAAATTTTTCTATTGGAACCATAATGTCACAGCTCATTCTGTCTTTTAATTGGCTTGTTAAACTTTTCAGTAAACTTATTTAGCTTTCTTTGAGTTGCAGAAATAAGACTTGAAGGTATGGCTGGACTCTTATTTCACCCCATCACTTTGTTTATTCAGCTCCTGGAAGCCAGCTGTACATCGCTAGTCTCTCGCTCTTTCGCTGCCTTGGGCTTCAGCGCATACTCCGGAGCGTGCATTGCAAGCACACTGTCTTGTGCCTGTGGGTTTCATGTGGACGGCCCCTTAATCCTGAAATATCATCCTTCTCATTCTTTGTCTGACTAACTCTTTCCTTGGATGTTACAGACTAATAAAAGAAGTTTCCATGATCCCTGTTCTAGTCTTTACGTACGAAAGTAGAGGAACCCACTAAAATCAGATTATATCCCAAATGAGGGGCATTCTTGAGAACAGAGCCACAGGGAAGATCCAAAGACAGCATGTAAAGTAAAGCTGGGTCACAGAGGTTGTGGGAGGGGGTGCTGAAAGTAAGGAAGTCACTTCACGGTTTTTCCTGACTCTGCTTCTTTCCAAGTGTGCACTCAATGCTTCCCTTTCTGTCTTTACCACAGGTCTCTGCTCACTCACCTTGCACAGTGTTCAGTGTGGTCGCTGTCAGCATCATGACTTTTCAGCTCTGATTGCAAAATTCTGAAGTGATAACAAACCTCAGCGCTCAAGACAGAGAAAGCCCCAGTCGCAGCCGAGTGAATGGACAGGCTGGATTTCTGTGAGGCATCTGATCCAATCAGTTGTGACCACAAGAGCAGGGCCATGTTCCAGAATGTGTGGGGCTGTACTTTCTAGTGGCTTTCAAGTGAACAGGTTTTCTAGAGTGGACTCCAGGAGGTATAAGTGATAAGAATCATTAGGACTATAACCTTCCAGTTTGGGATTGGCACCTTTCTATGGGCTCCCAACACATTGTGCCAG